CCAGCCACTCCCCAGATGAAACATGGGGCTGCTGGTGCACGGTAAACCTGAGAGGGAAGAATGGAAGTCACACGATTAAAATCCTGGGCATTTGCTAAAACTGTTTTTAATGTCTCCTGCCCTCACAGGCAGAAGATTGTGGACTTGGATTTGGGATGCTCTTGAAGTGTCACCAGAAAAGCTGTCAAATGTGTGCATGCAGAAACGGAGACTTGGAAAATGCCTTTAATTGTGATTCCACTCTGCACAACACAGATTGTCATGCTTTGAGCTCAGGTTTGTTTGTATCAGGGACAGACATTGATACCACAGCTCCTATCGGGGCATGAATATTTCAACAACTGAAATGATGCTTGCCTGCTCCAGAAAAGAGCTGCTTACATCCTCGTTTGATCTTTTTAGTGAGCCTAGCCAGCTCAGGTTGGCATCCTGGTTATTTATTTCCTACAGATATGGTCTCTGTTAGCTGTGCTGTGCTATGACTCTCCTCTCTTCATTTCAGAGGCTCTGGGAACTCAAGTTGGGAAGAGGTGAGATTTCTAGCAAGAAAAAAGACTAAAGCGGCCAGAATTTGCTCCCTGTTTTGTTTCTTTTTGAGGAGGCACCTTGCACTTTGTAGGATGCGTGGACCAGAAAGAGGTAGGGTAATACTTGGAAGTATCTAGAGTAGCAATCTGTGGGGACAGTCGTCGTCTTTCATTTCTGCCCCACATCCTGCACCACACCTTCTCTCCATGCTCTTGTTCTCTCTCCACTTCTTCTTGCACTAGGGAGATGCAGAATCCTCCTCTCTAGTGGCATTAATGAATAATATTAAGCACTTCCGAAGGAATAGGCTGAAAGTGGAGCCTTATTCTTTTCTGCAGTATATTGACAGTTCACACACAGGGATTGTGTCCTGGGCCCTTCTTTTTGAAAGCTAGCGTGATACTGAAATGCTGGAACTCCTGGTACCATTGTGTGTTTCTGAAGTAAAATGTCTCCAAAGCATCTAATTAGGGGGCACTTCCTACAGCCACAATCCATAACGCAGACAATGAGAGCTTTTGAGCAACTTGCTCTTCAGGGCATGCCTACGGTCTATAGAGCACTCTGGACACTCAGGATGAATGCCAGGTTTCTTCATGTAATAAGGTGTGCTGGTTTTGGCTGGGGTAGAGTTACTTTTCTTCACAGTAGCTGGTATGGGGCTGTGGTTTGGATTTGTGCTGGAAACAGCGCTGATAACACAGGGATGTTTTCGTTGTTGCTGAGCAGTGCTGACACACAGTCAAGGCCTTTTCTGCCCCTCACCCCAACCCACCAGCGAGCAGGCTGGGGGGGCACGAGAAGCTGGGAGGGGACACGGCCGGGACAGCTGACCCCGACTGACCCAAGGGATATTCCACACCATATGGCGTCGTGCTTAGCACATAAAGCTGGGGGAAGAAGGAGGAAGGGGGGGGACGTTTGGAGTGATGGTGTTTGTCTTCCCAAGTCACCATTACGTGTGATGGAGCCCTGCTGTCCTGGGGATGGCTGAACACCCGCCTGCCCATGGGAAGGAGTGAATGAATGCCTTGCTTTGCTTTGCTTGCGTGCACGGCTTTTGCTTTCCCTATTGAACTGTCTTTATCTCAACCCACGAGTTTTCTCACTTTTACCCTTCCGATTCTCTCCCCCATCCCACCGGGGGGAGTGAGCGAGTGGCTGGGTGGGGCTGAGTTGCCGGCTGGGGTTAAACCACAACATAAGGAAAAACAATACAAATCTGGGTATGAGGTGGTTTTCCAGTTATAAGTCCTTGGTGTGGTAAGATCTCTCTCCTCTTACTTAGTGAGCAACAGCATGTGGATGAAGTTTCCAGGCCCACAGATGATGCAAGAAGTCAGTTACGTGATTCTTGAGTATTTTTGTTTGAGCTGTATTTCATGGTGTTTGCATTGCTGATCCCAGCAGAATGGCGGAGCTTGGCCTCATGGGTACAGCTGTGAACGTGTGTGATTGTTTGAGGAATACATCTATTGGAGTGGTTATCCTGAGTATAATTGCTTGCGTACAAGAACAGAAATTATATATTGAGAGTTACAGCTGTGTATGTATCCCAGGAAGCAGTCTGGTAAACATAATCCCAAAGTCAACCCACAGTAGGACTTACTAGGCAAGGAGAGGAAAAAGTTGTGCTCTTACATATTCCAAACAGCCTCTAAAGCATAAGTTCTCATTAGACTGATGACTTTTGTTGGTGGGGTCATTAGGCAAAAGATGCTTTGCACTGGTCTGTCCTGCAGTGTTAGTGAGACGCTACGTTGAGATCCATGGAGCTGGCCATATCTGACCGCTGGTCCCCCTTGCCACAGAAAGGGCGGCTCAGGCTGGCCCAGGCTCCCTCCCAGTGTGCTCACTTGAATTTTGAACGTTGGTGCCAGAAGGCAGTGAGCGGTAGGTGCATGCTTCAAGCATTTTTCTGCACTCTGAGGATCTCAAAGTATATTTTCTGTGAAAACTATTTTAAAGGTTTACAATAAATGGCTAAAAGTCAGGCCTGGAGAAAAAGCAGAGATGCGTAAAGGCAGGGTCTGACTGCTCCAGGGGGGCTGGGTGCCAGGCTGACTCATGTCAGACACACTGGAAACACAAGGATGAAGTCAAATGTCCAAGGTCATCAGTAGGGTGCTGGCAGAGCAATGAAAGATACCAGTTAGAAGCAAACATGATTGAATTTTTGTGTCCTGAACTCACTGTGGGGAGCAGTGGTGTTGGTGTGGCCAGGGACCTTGCAAACCTAGGCCAGTAGGTGCCTAAATGATAGAATTTGGGCCCATGGTGACTAATGAGGACAATTTACGGTGGAACATTACTTCATGTGTCCTTTTTCAAAGCAGACCTGTGGTGCTTCCATCCAGCAGTGCTAGGGAGAGAAGAGCCCCGGCACCCCAAGGCTGCAAGGCTCATTCGAAACATGTACACTGAAGGAGGGATGTGTTGGATGAAGAATTGCTACTTGTGATGTATTAGGTGTTAAACGTATCCAATACAGGGAGCTTGTGAAAGGACCTGGAGTCAGGATGTGCTTGTGCATAGCATAAATGTTCTGTTTTGTGCCTGTTTTGAGCAAAAAGACAAGGCCCTCCCAGTCCCTGCTCCGCCACCCTTGCAAGCTGGTTGCTGAGCTGAGTGTCGTAAGGTAGCCATTACACATTACACAGGTGGCCATGTAACGCAGCGGGATTTATAATGGAAGATGTAGGGACTCTCTGGGGACTGGGGATTTAAAGGCTTTTTAGACACTTTGCATTGCATTTCACTTGTACGTCTTTGGGAGGGCTGTCCTTGTGTGCGTATATATCATATGCAAACGTGTTTTGAGTTGCTGTGTGTTTTGTCTGAATTTAGAAAAGGAGTGTTTTGGAGAAAGAATCCTCCAGGAAATGTTTTTGCAAGCACGGGCCTCTTGACTGTGATTTGGGGGGGAGGAAGGAGTGGGAATGAGGGGGAGGTTCACTGAGGTTTTCTTCTTTTCTTGTAGCGTTTTGGGAAAACTCCAGCCAAGGCCCACATACAGTCAAATGAATCAGCCTCCCTTTTTGCCATAGGTAATTGGCAGCTCTAGCTGCAATGCAGTTTTGATGTATGGCTAATACACTTCTTCTTGGTTAATTGAGAAGAAACACTGCAGTAGATGCGTGATGTTGAGTTGGCCTTTGTATGGAGTCTTTGAGCTAGTAGGGAGAAATTGTAGGCTGCTTCTTGAGGGGTTGGAGTTTGCTGTAAATTATATTCCATACTCTAGTCTGAAGGCTGTCATTGCTGTTCATCTGCTATAGGAAATGCATTTCTTGTTGCATACAAGTGCAGAGGGCACTGTAAGCTGGCGCATGGCACTGTTGCTCAGTGCAGGGTTTCCTTGGAAGAGTCTCATTTTATAACAACTTCAACAGAATATTCATGTTCTTAGATGAGTGACTGTTCCCGTGCTGACAAATAAAGCATTTTGGCCTTCTCATATTCCTGTAACAAAATGAAGTTCACTTGTTTCCTAAAGCGTCTGCTGCCAATTCAGACTCAGAGCTTTCTGTGTCTGCTGTAGGATTTCCACTGAGCTCGGAAAACTTACCAGACAAGCTCAGCATTCACCACTGGAACTATCTGGAGTAACTGGAGGGCTTTCTTGTCCTGGAAACAGGACATGTAGCCGTTGCCCTTGGCAGGCTGAGACTTGCCAAATGCCTTTAATTTCCTGTTGGAAGCCTAGTTTTACATGGAAGGACTACGTTACTTTCACAACTGTAGTATCTGTTGGTAAATATTGGCTTTAATAACATACGCTTCACTTTAGCAGAATAACAACAGTGAGGGATAAATATTGAGCAGTGAAATTAAGCGTGCTGTAGTGGGGCAGTAACATCAGTGTTCTTTTACAATGTTTTAAATGGTAAATACCATCCCTATTATTTTCATAGCATTTGAAAATTCATTAGAAACAAGTCCCTTTGAGGAACCTGTAGTCATAAATGTGATTAACTCAGCCTTGGAGTTTTAGTCATGGCCAAGGCTTCACTGAATGCTGTCTAAACAGAGAAAACAAGCCTGGCCTCGAGTTACTCTTTCATGGGATTGCTTCATATACGGGCAGCATGTGGCCTTCCTCCCTCCAGTTGTTCTGTGGGGGAAGAAAACATTCAAAGAAAGTACAAACGTAAAGTCTTCACAGGGGGCAAATGAAATGGTTGGCTCTGTAGCATTTTGCACCTGAAATGAAACACAGAAGTGGCTGTTTTTGCCCTGCAGCTTTGTAGGGGGCGGAGGGGACTCTTGGATGTTTGAAGATGCAAACACATAGAAAGCAGAATGGCATCTCCTTTCCATGCATACTTAGCTGAATAACACTCCTGCGTGTTTGGTTCATGTGTTATGTGTGTCTGGAGAGAGATTATATCCAGGCCAGTTGGGCTGAAGTTTGCTCTTTCTCTCTCCAGTTCACTGGACAAGTGTTTTACGTTTTCTTCAGCATAACTTTAAATGGACATTGTTTTACCCTGTTCTGGAAAGGAGCTGGTATTTCTACAACTCATGCTGTCATGTAAGTAATCTTTTTTTTTCTGAACAAGGTCATTACATCATGATGCAGTAATCCTCTGCCTGTGGGATAAACCATCCTCTCCGTCTCTGTCTACTGCTCTTATCTGTGTGTGTTCTTTCATTTCTCCTCCCCCCATGCACACTTTAAGAGAGGAGAGCAAAAGTTTTGATTCTGGCCTGTTAGTTTAGAGAGAATAATGCATGGGTTGCGAGATGCAAAGGGCTGTTGTATCACAGAGCTATTGCTTTGATACTTTATCCACAAAGAGAAGCTCCAGAGCCTCAAGTCAGAAGAGCCTGGGGATGAAATTACACCTTTGCCAGGCTCTGACAGGTTAAACTTTACGAAGATGCAGGTAGCAAATTATCCACAGACTGAATTGCAAAGGAGGGCTTTAAAATGGGCTTTAAAAACCTGCTGGGGAGATCGAGTGGATAAAAATAGTCAGTTCTTGTATCGCTCTTTTTGTCTGTAGAGCTAAAAGCAATCTACAAAGGAAGGACAATGTCATTATCTTGGTCTCACCCCAGAGGAACCGGAGGGATGGAGCAGTGCTACTGTGGGTGGAACGGGTCAGCATGGGAGCCGGCAGCAGGACCCAGCCATCTTTCTGCCTGTCCCGTTGCCTGGCCATTAGACTGAGTTGCCTCCCTGCTTATTGCAGTTTCTAATTTGTCTTGGATGTGTCTGTGTGCTTTTTCCCGAGTCAGTTTACACCACAATATATCGTTCATGGCCAGCCTAGGGAGTGCCCGATGAAGTATGGTTCATAACTATTTTTGATTCATTTATAAAGGGATTAGGTGACGTAGTTGCCTGGACAGCAGGGACTGTACTTGTTGACCTGGTGGGTCTCTCCCAGTCCTGTGTTTCTATGTAACCTGAGGTGATGCCATCTAAGCTGCATCAAGATGCCAGTGATGTAATTTCAAACTGTCTGGCCTGAGCGCCAGTGAAGTCAGGGAGGCTGCACATGTGTAAGATAGGATTGGCTTTGATCCTGTCTATTTTGCCCAAATAATAAGTAGAAGATCGGTAGGGTTTGATGCAAAATGAAACCAGTTAATTAAGCAGAGAAAGTAGAGCAGATATATTAGTGGTTGATTCCATCTTTCACCTGCCCCGAGAGGAAATAGCCCGTCGTATTTTACTGTGCAGCTCCGAGGTCTGTTGCAGATTAAGACAAATAACTAAGTTGAGTCATCGGGTTGTAGCGTCTCAACAAACTACTTAAAAAGGTGTCAGGCCCTCACTGTGGGTGGATGTTAAAGTGGCAGACCTATCAAAGAAACACATCTAGAATTGCACAAAGACTTCACTGTTACCGTCATGCCATACTTTATAGCTGTTCAGAGCATTGCAGTGATAGAGCACACGTCCTCCAAGCTGGAAGTGATAGACTCCCGTAGCTGTCAGCAGGACAGGACAATGATGGACACCTTGCAGGGCATGCTGGCATGGGTACAGCCCTGCGCTCACATGCCTTTACAGCTATCAAAACAGACACATGCATCAAGTTGCTTGGAGTGCAAGCAGAGGAGCTCAGATTGGGCTGTGCCCATCTGTGGAGACTTAGCCGTGGCTGAGCAGTCCCTGTTCCAGTCAAAAGGGACACCAGTACCAGCCACTATATCCTCATGACAATACTTCTATGCTTTGTACTTGTCCCTAATTTATTATATCCCAAAGTCTTAAGAGTCTTCTCCTAGAGATTGCACTGCTGACAGCATCTTCATCCATGTTTCAGCTGTGCTGCCTCTGATGAGAATAGGCTCTATGTAGTTTGGTCCAATATCAGAGTGTTTTAATGGAGAAGGGGAGATTTCTGAATTAGATTAATTCATTATGCTCTTTTATCATTGCCTGTTACTAGAAAAATTCTAGCAAATGAGTTTGTACTACTTCATTTGCATTATTGGTTTTCTTCTGTTTAATTCCGGCAGAATCTTTGGACCCAGATTCCAAGGGGATGACCGCGTTGTAGGAAAAACGTGCTCACAGCAGAGCTTCCCAGCCATTAGTTATGATAGCTTTGACTTTTCTACCAGGCTAAATTTCAGAGCACCACTGATTTTTATTTCTTCGTATAACTTGTGATTTGCTGAGTTATAGCTGACAGCAGCTTTTCCCTGTCCTTAAGGGGTCATTGTGCATATGTGTGTGTGTTTGAAAAATGCAGAATCACATCTTAAAAAGAAAGTCCTCTAAACATGCTTAGCTGAGTGTGATCCCTTTCCCTTTGCACTTAGTTTTAAAGCCAAATGTCATAAAAACAACTTTCAGTGCTTTGATGTGGGCTCATAATTTTCTCATTGATGCTATTAATATTGCATGCCCACTTGCTCCATGGTGGGTGTCAGCGCTCGCTAACAGCAGCCATCTGTGAGAAAGGAGCTGCTTCCTGGCATGGAGTAAAATTTAGGCCAGCTGTGGATGCTGGAACCACATCTTAGAGACTGTCCCTCTGGGCTCTCCCTTCCCTGTGCTTTCCCTGGGACTGTGCACTGAGCGGAATTTCTGGTACCCAGGATCCCACAGCCTGTGGAGCAGCATTTTTGTACTAATGTCTGTGCCTCACACTCTGAAGGCAGAAGGTAGGGCCTGAATTATTACTGCATTGGGCTTGTGCCATTGTCATTCCAGAAAGCCGATATCCCTCAACTCAAGGGACTCGCCCATTTCTATCCATTTAACTATGAAGTAGTTACCAACAAATGATGCTCTTGTTCAATTTGGGCAGTACTTGAAACTTGACTTCTCCCTCTGCACCCGTTCAGCACCAGTGGTGGTTTATGGGTCTAGTGAAACAAGTGAAAATGCAATTGCAACTCTGGCCTGATAGTTCGGGGGAAGCCAGTTTTCCTGAATTTTGTCCTGTGATGTTGGAAAAATCTCATCACTCTGCCCTTTCGCTTTAATTCCTGGAAATACAAACAGGTTAGAATTGAGGGAGCAGGGGAAAGCAAACAAACTCCAAGCAGCATTCCAGGTAAGTCTTACATATAGAGGATGTGTGTTTTGCCACATGTTGAATTGTTTTGCAGTCAAGCTTCTGGGATCTGAATGGATTTTCAAACCTGTGTCAGAGCTCAGTGGTGAGATTACTTTCAGCAAAAAATAATCTGTCAGTATTGTTCTCTTAGTCTATGTTAACTATCTGACTAGGGGTTTCATGACACACCTGCTATCCCAGAGGCCAGTCCTTAAGAAAAATAATGGCCTTGGACCAAATCTTGCCTCCAGTTATGTGGTCTGACCTCAAGTTTTCATTTAATTTACAGAATTGAGATTTATAAAATAGCTGTGTTTAGTAACTCCATCAGTTCTCACCTTGATGTGACACCTAAACAGCATTTGCAATAGGAACATGGTCTCAAGATTTCTGCTGTTTTCCAGCACACGTTCACCCTTTCTGTAGCTCCCTTTCAAAGTCCTTTCCCTCTCACAAGATTTCCTTTCTCAAACGGAGTTCTTGGGACAGGGATTTTGCGGATGGCTGCAGGCGTAGGCCAGTCACTCAGAAAAGGGCTTCTACCCTGGAGGTGCTTCCTTCTCTAACGGAAAAGAATGCACGGTTCTGCTGTCCAGGCGGCCTTTAGAAGAATGGAAACTTGTTTCTTTGAGGGTAAAAAAACCTTATGCAAAGATTTAGGAAGTGATTCATCTCCATTTACACAGTCTGCAGTAGCAGCTTGTCAGACTGGGATCATATGTTGCGCTTTATGATATAATGCCCCTGAATGTGAATCAGATCAAGGCACTCTTACAGTTTGCAGCAGCCAAAGTTATATTAGTGCTGATGATAATTGCTAAAAGACTATAATGATCTACCCGGCTAATCATGGCTGAGTTCTATCAGTAACACTGAACACTCACCTTCTGATAAAGGCCCCAGCTTTCAAGTGTTGTGAAACTTTGCTGAGCTGGGAATGGTACAAGCCCAGAAAACTGGCACAGAATCTGCCTTGGTGGCCGGTCACGTACAGGTCACATGTAAATGTTGTGTGGGATCAGAAGACGGATTGGGTTAGAACTGGGTTTGTGCTTTTCTTCCTCGAACTTCTCTGTCATAGAAATCAGTGGAACTAGTCAAAGGCAAAGGGGCAGAGAAACTTCCCTCTTCAGCTCACAAGTCATCAGAGATTTGTATTATCTGATATGAATCCTGTTTCAGACTTAAAGGAATGCAGTCCCAGATCCTTCAGCAGCTCCCAATTTTTCCATTGCGAATACCAGAACCGCTGTTTAACCCCCACGGTGGTGATCTGTGGGGAGAGGCCAGGACCCGAATGGGCTGTAGAAGCACCAATAGCTGTCTCGGTTATATAGGTGGGTTCTTGATGTTGAAGGTGTTAACTTTGGCCAGGCGCTGAAGGTAATGTGTGGGAATATGTGCTCGATACGTCTAAGTAACTCCTGCTTGGCAGAGGAGTAGAAGTATTTGCTCTCCACAGGGATGGTGAGACACATGCGACCAGAGCTGGAGTCTCATGGGAGCTGAGCACTGCCTTCTATGTGCACCTGAAACAGGCAGTAATTTCTCTGCTGCGTTACTGAATCCCATCGTATTCTTTGAAAGCAAGTGAATGAAGTTTTGGTCATGGTTGGCAAGAAATTTGTGGATAAGATGTTCAGCACAGGAATTTTGTTTCAAGGAAGTCCAGGGAGTGAATGCAGGAATGGTACAGGTTCAGGTGGAGGCCTTGCATGAGGAGCAAATGGTCTGTGCAGTGAGGTCTGGGTAGTGTTTTCTGCTCAGGCTGGCATTTCTTTCTGAATGAAGATTGAAATGAGCTTTTTTTGCCAAAGAGAACGTGGAGGCTCTCTTATTTCATTGGTAGATGCTGTTGTCTCCTTCATAAAATCCTTGATGGAAGAAAGAATTCTTTATGATGAAAAGTGCTCATGCCAAGTAAAACAACAAGAGGTGGTGGCTTTAAATAGAGTTGAATATTTCTAGGAGGAGCATGAGATGTATTCTATTTTCAATGCATGCCTTA